TCTCTCTCTCTCTCTCTCAGATGAGGTCTCACTATGTAACCCTTACTGCACTGTAACTGGCTATGTCTTCCAGACTGGCCTCAGATTCACAGAGATCCACCTGCTATAATGAAAGTTATCACCAGGCCCTGCTCTCTCTGAATTTTTATACAAGCTCATGTAGCCCAAGCTGGCTTTGAGCTCCTGATTTTCTTGCCTCTACCTCTTGGAGTATTGATATTACTGACAGGTGCCTCCATGTCCAGCTTCAGGACACATGTCTGTGGGTCCATATAACTCAGTTATCCCAGCCTTTAGCTGGCCACCTGAACTTCATGCCTCTACATGGACAAAGTCCCTCTCGTGGACTAATGTTTTGATTGCACATAAGAACTGGATCTCCAATGTATATGTCTACTTTCTGTCTTACCTTACACTGATAGTTTGTAAGACTAGCCATTGCACATACTTGTGTCTTCATAAGGAGTTAGCAATAAAGCAATATTGAGGCGTACTGTCTTCTTTACATTTATTTGAGTGTGTATATGCATAAATCTGTCAAAGATTATGTCAAATCAAATTTTTTTCTTCACTGGGGACTCCCAGTCTTCATGTGCTGCCCAGATTCCTGAAGGTAATGAAGAGGCTTCCAGTAGTGTGCTTGAGATGAGGAAGTTCTCTATGGAGGGGACCATATCCTCCTGCATCTTCTGGTTCATGTCTTCCAGGTCCAGGTGGGGTGTGAGGCCCTCCATCTGGAACACCAAGATTCTGCATCACCAATACACAGCTGCTTTGCCTGGTCTCTGCTCAAGCCATTCTTTGAAAAAATATTTCATTTTTGTTTTCACACGGCCAGCCTCTATGCAGGAGTCCCTCTAATTCCTACTATTTCCATCTCTTCTTACAGGAGACTTTCCCTGTTTGATCAAGGATACCCCAAGGACCTCATTATGCCTCAGTCACCTGCTTCAGAGTCCACACCTCAAAGTGCATCATAGTGAAGATCAAACCAAGAATTTGGAGTACACACCAACCCACAACATAGGCCCAAATCTCCTGTCCTCCTGCACCTGCTTCTGAATCCCAGCCTGGCCCAGTGGAAATGACTTCCCTCAGTCTGAAGTCTCAGCTGTTACCATGCCAGTGACCCCTTTTGTGAGGTCACAGAGTCCTGACTTGACTACAGTCTGGGCATATTAAAGGGTGGCCAGGCACTCAATCACCTCCTGCATTTTTGCTGAGCCAACCCAAGCACAAGGGTCCTCAGACATGCTCTCAAGGAGTAGCATGAGGCTCGACACAGAGGGCAGCTCTGGGAATTGCCTCAGGTCCAGTCCTCCTTCCCCCAGCAGACACCTTCACTCCTGGGAGGAAAAAAGGGGATGGTGATGCTGCTTCCTCAGCTCAGTGTCTGAGCCTCACACACAGCCTTGTCAGTCAGGTGTTCAACTGTCCAGCAAGATTTCCATGTTACAGTTAAGGCCAGAGAGTACCATCTATAGGGGTCAGGGTAGACGGTGACTGAAAATTTTGGGCTTACAAAAAGTGGAAGTTTGAGTTTAGATATGGTTCCGTCCAGAGCACTTGCCTGGCATGCCAGAGGCCCTGGGTTTGTGCTACAGCACCAGAAAATAAATAGGTAGGTAGATATAGGATGTGAACAAAGACCAAGTCCCAGCTTTTTACAGAGGGAGCCCCAAGCCATGAGGCTCATAGAGTGACCACTGTCTTTTCCTCAGCCAAGCTTCCTCCCACATGACTGCACAATGAATGGCCACACTTTCCACACAGCATAAAGGCCGCTGTTGCAATGCAGTGCCTGGTGATACAGTAGAGTGGCTTTGTTATCACCAGCCTGAGGCTAGCATCATCCCACTTCAGAAAAACGAGGTGGGGACTGACAGAGGAAGAAGATGCCTGAGTGGATCTCTGTCCCCTACATGTACTCACACATATGTGTGCACCTAAAGACATATGCACGTGGATCACACATACACTAAGGATGAAACATGCATAGATAAACGTAAGAAGTAGGGGAGGAGGGAGAACACTGGAATTCTACTTGCTGGTCTATCCATGTCCGTGGCCATGCTGGGGAGGATGTACGAGCACAAGTGAAATGGTGTTGTTTCCAAGCCAGGTCCCACAGGTGCTGCTGCTTTCTCGGGTCCCAAGCGTGAGCCTCACACTGCCTTAGCCCTTCAACAACTGCTCCTTTGCTAACAAGATTCCCTTGTTAATACAGCGGGATGCCATCTCCTGCCTCTGTGCTCTGGTTATCAAGGTGGTTGATAACTTTCATTTGTCTCCTCCACCATTAAACTACAACTTGAATGGGACATGTCTCTGTAGAATAGTGGTTGCCCAGCATTGCAAGAGGCCCTGGATCTCAGCACCAGCCCCACAAGAACAGTGTGAATAAAGACTAAAGTAAAATAGAAACTTTGACATGGAGAGCCCCAGCCCATAAGGTTCAGTCCTGCACGAGCATCTGTTTTTTGCTGTCTTGTCCTCATGGGAAACTCCTCTTGAATGACTGAGTGAATGGAGGAAGAAATGACCCCTCTGTCAGACACTGTGTCAAGCCCAAAGCTTGTAAGGTTGTGCAGTGGAAGGTTGTGTAGTGGAAGGTCATGCGGTGGTGGGGTGGTTTTGTTAGACCTGGACTGAGCTGTGCCTCCTGACAAACACATGCTTAGACAAGGTAGATCTGCCAACTCAAGGCCACTAGAGTTCTTCACTTCTCATGAAAGGATGTTGGCATGAGGCAGGGTTGACACAGCACTGGGGAGTATTGGCTATGGGGCTGCCCACGTGTCCTCTTTGTAACTCAGAAGGAGGTAGGACTGAGCCAGCTTTTGGACAATGTTTGTAACAACAAGACTCCATGCTTGGGGACATCTAGCTTATGGCCTGAGGAGGGTTTAAGGGAGTCATATTGCCTGTATTTGCATTCAGATGGTCTCAGATGAGACACTCTCCGTGGTTTCTGAAGGCATCATTTCTGAGAGAAATTTCTTGCTTAGCAATCGAAGGCACTTCCTATCAAACTTAACAAATTTATTTCAATCCCAAGGATCTTCAGGATGGAAGGAGAGAATCAACTCCTGAAAGTTGTCCCCTCATTTCCACACATGAACCATGGTATATTTGAACACATACACACACATAAACACAAACCAATCAGGACACAGAGGTAGAGAATCAGAAGTTCAGTCATCAATGGCTACATAGCAAATTTGAGACCAGCCTGGGGTATATGAAATCCAGTCTGGGAAAAAAAAATAGAATGGGGAAGTGTCTCACAGGCTCAGATGTGCTAGGTGAACAGGAAGACCTGAGTTGGAATCCTCAGCATGCACCCAAAATATGGGCATGTGATACACCTCACTGGCAGAGCATTTCTTTAGCATATGTGAGGCTTTAAGTTCAATTCTCATTACAGGAAAAAAATAAGCTGGCAATGGCTACAGTGGTCTAGAACACCAGCATTGGGTAGCAGAGACAGGCAGATCTTGGGAGCTCTCTGTCTAACTGGGCTAGGTGAACCAGCAAGCTTCTGGTTCAATGAGAGACCATACATCAAGGCCTCAAAGATGTTCTTACCGAATGTGAGAGCAGAGCAGAAACATAAGCAAAGAGCCACTGTAGGAGTTCAGGAGTCCAGTCGCAAAGCTGTTGGAGCCCCCACACAGCCTAGTGAAGAATAGAGG